GTATAGCAGAAAGTAAATTTGGATGGCCTCAAAAGACATATATTATTTTAGTTATAATTTATGTGCGAAATTATCTAATGGTTACTCACTCCCTGGCCATGGTTTTGGCTTTCAGTGCAATAGGGTCACGTATCTCATTTAAGTGGTTGTGTTCACTGTGGAGACCATTGGATGTATCTCCATTGTGGAATTCGAGATTAACTTGACAGGGTCAATCCCACGGTACTTGCGCTAGAATGAAAGGACATGAACATACCAATGTGTCAATATCTTATTTACAAAAGGCTTAGACTGATCTATACTCTGTAGTACAATACATTACAGGCTGGCAAAGTTCTCAAACGAACAGATACTCCATATATATTTGTACAATCCCATGTAGATATCTCCCAAAATGAAAAAAGAAATGAAAGTCCCAGCACAAACACGCGTATGAAAAAAAGACAAGAAAGAAAGAAAAAAACGGCCAAGTCCACTGCAGTTATTTATTTCTTCTTCCCCTTCTGTTTCTCCCGCTGAGGCCCCTGAAACCCCTCAGCCTGGCCAAACGAGCTAATCAAATCCAATAAATTATCCTCCTCTTCATCTTCCTCAAACTCAAACTCCGCCGCCTCCTCCGCAGTCGTGTCTTTGGCCTGTGTCGCATTAACCTCAGCGTTCCCAGCAGCAGTTGCAGATATATCCGCCGTCGCCGCAACCGGTCCGGCAGTGCTCGTCGCATCCCAACTCCGGCCAAACTTGCTTCTAAACGCCGCCAGTCGCCCTGCCTCATCCTCCTCAACGTTTCGCAGCTTTTCGCTGGACGGATTCCATAATGGCGCATTGCGCGTGTCGCGTGTTGAGCGGTACACCGCTAGGGGGGAGGTGGTGCGGTGGGTGAAAGTGCTGCCGTCCGAGAGGGTTATTAGCTGTGTAAAGGTGTATGGACGCTTAGGCCGTCGGAGGAGTGTGGCATGTCTGCATTGTATGCAGATGAAGGTAATTCTGGTGGGATTGGAGAGGACTGTGGTCGCAGTGTGGCGGATGGGAAAGGGTAGAGACATAATGTGTTGTGTTGTGTGTGTCGTATGGCTTCTATTTCGTGATGGGTGGCATCGGAGGAATGACTTCGACTCCGAGTTCCGTGTTCAGATGCGGAATTGAGCTAATTGCGCAGGAGAGGGGATTGTCAAAAGAACAATTGTGATGATTTCTCTCCGCAACTTTTGTCGATGATGTTGGAGAATATTTTTGGAGGTGTCGCTTACCTAAGCCGCTCTACTTCCTGTTGAACTCGGTATTTTTCTTCGATCAAGGTTGGCGCTTCAGCAATTCTCAACATAGTACGAAGAGACAATGTTTTCCTTTCCCTAAAAACTGCAGACATAGGCTTTGCAATTTCCAAAAAATGAACTCCTACAAGAAAGGCATTGTCCGGACGTTACTTATTCAGGAAGATGTCATTGGGATGCTGTTCTATTAATCTCCGTTTGGGCAGCACTCGCGGAACCAGAGAGATCTTCCACTTACGCCGTAGCATCAAGTTGCCGCGCTTATATTTTCATCATGGACAGCTGGCCTCCTTTCCAGCTAGAGGCCATCACCCTCGCTTCTACGGGCTTCTACGGACAATTCTGTCTAAACATGCTGCAAGCATTACGGATTCGATCCTCCCAGTATTACCTGGCCGAATCCCATCAAACCCTCCTCAGAACGCGACGAAATCTTCAAGTACAATTGAATCGCACATAGACCATCACATTCCGCCAACCAATACTGCCGAAAACGTAGTAATCGTCGACGAGGATACCTGTGAACCACCAGAAGCCACAACACGGCACGAAACAGCTGGTTCCGAGAAGCAGATCGGCGACCAAGTCCGCCTCCTGATGCGTCGGGTCCCGCACCCCGTCGCAATAATCACATCCACGGACCCCAGATCACCCACGGCACAGACTGCCTTTCGAGGTATGACCGTCTCCTCCTTCAACACAGTAACGCTCTACCCGGAAACCATCGTCTCCTTCAATGTGAAACTCCCCTCCGAAACGTTCAACGCCATCGACGCCTCGTCCCGCTTCCTCGTCCACCTCTTAGCACCCACGAATACAACCGCACGCCTAGCGAGGGACTTCTCCCAGGGAAATGCAAAAATCATGCATGCGGACGAAAGCGCCACGTTGTTTCAATTCGTCCCGATGAGCGGGGGAGATTCTGGTCAGGTGCCGTCGATTGCGGAGGGGGAGCCGCCGCGTCTCGCGCTGTTAAACAATGCAAAGAAGGACGGCGAATCCTCTCTGCCTACTGAGGCAGGGCGGGTGGACAGTAGCGGTAGCTCTGTTACATCCGGCCCGGTTGCTATCGCGGATTATTTCCCATTTATCTTCGAATGCCGACATCTCTCGCAAAGCGTCAAGGTGGGGAATCACGTCATTGTGCTGGGGCGGGTGGTGAAGGTTATCTGCCAAGAGGCAGCTGGCACATCCGATTCTGGAGAAACATATAGTCCGGAGCATTTATGCTTAACTTACGCTGATACGCGGTTCTGGAAAATTGGGGAGACTATTTCATCTGTTTGACATTGGTGGCGACGGGGGATAGCGACCTTTATAAATAGCCTGGAGCCATGGCTTTGCTAGATGTGAAATAGAAATGGAGTTTACGTTATATTGAGCGCTATGCTTTTCTTATCGTTGAAGATAGATTTTCGAATATATCTATGTATATATATATCTCCGTCAAGATGGCATGACGTTTTACTACTTTATTATTATTAATCTCCCCTTTGATTTGGTTTCGCTCATTACTCCATACAGGGGATTCTACGAACTTGCTTTGGAGGATCATACAAAGGTCTGGGCAACGTAGGGCTCATTGGTATCCCCTATCGATTTACGAAAGCTTTGAATGAGGTTGGTTTCCATACAATGCTCTACGTGGTATATTAAGTCAATCGCAACCAAGTCAAGAGCGCGAATGAGGAGAACCAATACGAAAGAAAGAGAGTAGAAAAACAACGGCCTACACTGGAACGATAGAATTGATGGATGGGTTT